TATTAGCCAAATATGTTAAGTCAATATCTTTTGGTTAATATGATTAGTTTKTTCCTCAATTCTAGTGATTGTGATTAGTTTGTTTCCTTAGTTCTAGRCTTAGTACTCTGTATAAAAGCAATGTACATCATCTTGTAAAAAATACACACGATATTATCTTTCGATATAAAACCAACAAGCAAGATTCAATATGCATCAAACTATATCCAGTATATATATGCAGAAGGTGCTACATGACAAATTTTTCATGTATGTGGTTATTAAAATATTAACTAGGTGATTCATGCATGGCAAACACTTTTAAACATTCATGCAAGTTTAAAACAGTGACCGATTCATGCAAGTTTAACACAGTGACCGATTATAATCAAATTATAACATAGCGATTAATTATCCGATTTCAACAACGTAACGTTTTCAGTTTACGTAAACAGATTCATAGAATTTCATAAATTCAAGCAAATCAAGTTATTCATAGAATTAGCATATATATATCACATATATATTAAACTAGACCAATTTCAATATTATACACGTAAGGCTCTGATACCACTATTAGAATTCATAGGCGATTTATAACTATTTATAAATATTGACTTAGAATTCAATTTCCAGGATTCGTGTAAATATTAAATTGGATCTCGGTTCTATGGTTTCGAATATACCTGGATCAATTGCAGCGGAAAGATGAATCGAATCAGATCAAGGTTATGTAGCACTCCAAACGTCGTGCCTCTATCGGTATCCACACGCACACAAACTAGATCAAACGGGATGCTAGTGCCGTAGAGATCTAAATCTCTTATTATGAAAGACAAAWTGTTTTGTATTCTTTAGTAGGGTTTATAAGCGGCGACTTCTGATAATTATCATCACATCACGTCACCTTAATATATAGTGCAAGCACCATTKAATGGGYTAAGCCCAAATGARAAARCTTTTACGTGGAGARGAAGATGTAATCATAATTACCAATTTCCTTTTACTTCACGTACACTCATATATTACCAATTTCCTTAATC